TTGTATTTATTGATATTATTTCATTTGCCATTTTAATGATATACAGTCAACATTTGGCTTTGTGAAAAACTCATTGAGTAATATTCATTATTTAGCTATAAGTGTATATATTTCTTATTATATACTATACTAGAATATCGATTGAAAATTTTCAACTCTGCTTTTATGAGTACTTTTGTATTTAAAATGCATCCAATACTAATAATAAAAGCAGAGTTGAAAGTATTTATCAATTATCATTTTTACTAATGTTGTTAATTTAAAAGAAATAATTATATTAGTAATAAATGTTTAAATAAAAAATTATTGAGTAAATGATAGTTTACACAACAAAATGTTGTTTATTTAATGAGTAAAATTTGTTAACATGGGCCTGACATTGAAAGATTATTTCTAGAAATATTTCTCGACAGCCAGGAAATATTTCTAGAAAGTTTCTCGAAATTTTGAGATTCTTTCTTTTCTACCAAGTCTAGCTGTGTATCATATTTTTAAATCTAATCCTATTGTAATTATATTGATTACTAAATGCGGATATTAGTGTTCGCTCAATGTCATTGATTACTTATAAACTGTGCCAGTAACAATCGGTTGCTGTACGGATACCAAGTACAATTATTGTGAAATCAATATAAATTGCCTACCTTATATAAATAAACTTAATGCTATATAAATAGGTTCTTATTTTTTTAATATTGATTATTAGTTTTTTGGCATTTAAGGTTGCTATTTTATTATTTCAATTTGTTCAACAAAATGTCCATGTACATTGTAGTGCTATCATTGTTTGCATTTGTCTCGATACAATCTGCAGCAATTATTAAGTTAGCAATTGTTTTTGGTATTTAAGGTTGCTATTTTATTATTTCAATTTGTTCAACAAAATGTCCATGTACATTGTAGTGCTATCATTGTTTGCATTTGTCTCGATACAATCTGCAGCAATTATTAAGTTAGCAATTGGTGCCATATTATGCTCAAGATTATATTTATTAATTATATATTATATTTATATTAGGTCAAATGTGAACGCAAACTCACCGAGAACACTTCTCGCTATACTAAACTCCAATGTAATGAACCAGGATAACCGCAATACATGGGTCAATGCGGCCATCAATAAATTCAAGTTTAATTTCGAAAAATTGCAACCTGCTCAAATACCCGAGGCTCAACTATACACGTATACCAGTGGGACCCCGGTGCAAACACAAAACTGGGAGCCGGCTAAAAACTTAAAATACATATCATTTTCGCATGATACACCCCAGCACATTAATTTTGAGACCCTATTGTCAAACGGTAACACAATGTTCAATGGTAAGCAAGGTGGCGGTGTATACACCATACTGATAGGTGGTCATAGTGTGGACCCGGCTAATACATTGGCCAAGGTAGAATCACTGGCTAATGAGCTCAAACAAAAGCAAGTCAAGGTGTGCTATCATAATTGATTAGACATTCAAAATAGTTGCTTGATACATTATATCTACACTAATTAGATAAATATCGTGGAGTTTCCCACAATCTCGCAAAACCGAGATTTTGCCCTGAGCCTATTTAACAAAGCAGCTACTGTTACCGGTGGCAGTGTGTCACACGCTGAGGAGCATGGTAAATCATTTGCCACGGCCCTGGACCTAATTCACGGACTGGACGCTAATGTAAAACTGTACCGGCCCATTGCCGAAAAGGTCATTGATGATTTACGACCCAAAGCTGTGGACATGGCGTTTACGGTCGACGCCTCGCTCATCAACGCAACCATCCGGGCCTTTTGGATACAGTCGGGTAACGACGCCTTTACCGGAAATTCAGTTCAACTGCACCCGCCTAAGGGCACGGCTAAGGTCGACTCACTAGACCAGGTGCCCGACTATAAGATTGACGGCCTGTCCACTCATTTGAATAGCCAGGAGTTCATAGGTATGTCTATTAGTGTAAAGTTGTCACAGCAAGTTGCTCATTATAATTATAGCTTATTAGCAGGGTTTATTAAAGGTTTTACATTTATACCCTGTACCAATATTTTAGAAAACTTATTTTGTAATATTTACATAGGTACAATAATTTTATTTGCATTTTGACCAGGTCAATGGCATTTTGTGGCCAAAACAATTGATACACCAGAGTCACTTATTGGCATAGTGGAAGTGGTCCTGTAGTTTATACGATATAAACTATATAATTTATCTAGCAATTAATATTCCAAATTAAAAACTAAACAAGTCAATTAATTAATTAATATATGAATAAAATACTGCAAACATAATAATGA